ATAGAGATAGAGATAGAGATAGAGATAGAGATAGAGATAGAGATAGAGATAGCGAAAAACGAGGCAGATACATATACAGACAGAGAAAGCGAGAGAGAGAGTGAGAGAGAGATAGATAGAATGATAGACAGAGAGGAGAGTGAGAAATAGGGATAGCGAGGGCCAGAGACAGACACAGAAAGCGAGGCAGTGATAAATTGAATGATAGCAAGGCGAGATAGGTAGACGAAAGACAGCAACGGTTGACAGACATATGGTTGGAAAGAAAGAGAAAGGGAGAGACAGAGCAAAAAGAAATAGACAAATGAAGGGGTAATGAAAAGGACTGATAATGATAATGATGCTCACTCTTCTATCGTATTACCTTAGTATAATATTTATCCTCCAGGAAAGTAGTTCAACTAAGTTCCAAATAACAAAGAAAATGCTACGCAGAACAGCATATCAACTGCCTATACAGATCTAACGCTCAAAACTTGAAAAGCCCCAGCGACTGTGATAAGCAATGCGCTTGCACCGTCTGTCTACACGGCTTACAACTGGGAATTTCCACATTCCCGTACGATCGTTCGCCTCTAGCTGAGCTCTGTGAATTTCCCGATGGCATTGCAGCTTAGCCCAGCTAGAATATAAGATCGTAGCTGAGCTGTCAGCAGCATCAGTTCAACTCTGTCGAATCAACAATCAACAACAGCGAATCAACATGAAATTTTTCTCAGTTGTCACCGTCTTTGTGCTCGGTCTCTTGGCCCTGGCCAATGGTGAGTAGCAAATGCTCAGATCAGAATGGGATATATGTATTAACTAAATATATTTCTATATTTCTCTCTCTCTCTCTTGTTCTCTCTCACTTTAGCTGTTCCATTGTCGCCCGATCCAGACAATGTGGTCATCAATGGCGATTGCAAATACTGCAATGTCCATGGCGGCAAATAGACGTACCCAAAGGCCTTCCTCTGCGGCTCAGCCCCTCCTAGCTTACCTCAATCTGCTTGGCACAATATATTTATGTACTCACTGCGTTTCAAAATCAACTTAGGCATATAAATAAAATATATAATAATTACTATGAAAAACTAAAAGCCAACATAGAGTTTTTATTATTCAAAAATTCCAAATCTTATATGAGGAAACATTTTTACAGCTGCGAAACTTGAGATTATTAATGAATCAATGTTTATTATGATAAAACAAGAAATGTATGTACATATATACAATTTAACAAACCACACATATATTAATTAAAATATACATACAAACATTTTTAAAATAAATCTATAATATTTTTCATCTGATTTGTAAACAGTTCGAAGCTTTTCAGCCTGCATTGATTTATAAAGTTGTAGGATTAGACAGCCAATAAAAATAAACTAACAGACAGTAATATTTATTTATATTGTATTATTGTTATTATTTTTTAAATATTTACAATACTCGACTAATATATACCCTGTCTTGTGCGTATGGAAAATATTTTATTATGATATACAAAATCATATCAAACGATATATTATGTAATGCTATTATTAATTATATTATCTATATATAATTCTGCTATATATAGTATATGAAATATTTTTAAATTTAACATTATCTTATGTCCATATCATAAAATTATAATTTGTCATAGCTCCACTTAGTGCCTGGTATACCCCATAGCAATAACTACTTACAGGGTAGTTCAAAATTGCGTAAACAGTTAGCTGAAGGCTGTACAGACTCTATAAGCATTCTACATAGACCCATTATCAACACTATTAGAAATGCGCATTATAGGCTACGTCATCGGTGCTCCAAGTTTTTTACATACCCTATAAAATATATAATATACATACATACATCAGTCAAAGTCTTACACGCTTAACAATGATTATGCCAATTAATATACAGACGCAACACGTCATATCTTCAGCTGTTTTTAACAATTGGACTATTCTCTATAAATATTGAAATCAGTTTTATAGAACTGCATTTGCACTGTATTTTTCTTGGAATTTATGCATGTTTCGACTTGTTTTTCAATCAAAACAACAACAGCAGCGATTGGATATCAAACACGTTTTAGCGCTTTGTCGGAAATGTATTAAGATATTCAGTTAATTAACATATAGAACTGTGGGGCGCCACGCTTCGAACGTCGCAATTGATATTGAATATTCGATTTCGAATGTAAACAGAGACAAGTGCAGCAAATAAAACAATGCAATGGATGCCTGATGCATGAGAGAGATACCCTATAATGAGAATTGAACTTAAGGTCAGCGTTATACATCAATACGGTAAAGTGGGATAGAGGGGAATAGAGGGAGAGAGAGAGAAAGAGATGTAATAAAATGGAGTGATACAAAGGAAAAGAGATATATATATAATAAGAGAGTTTGAGAGATAGAGAGAGGAGAAGATGGTAAGACTTTGAGAGAAAGAGAGAGAGAGAGAAGAAGAATAGAGAGTTAGTAAGATTTTGAGAGAGAGAGAGAGACAGAGTGCGAGAGAAGGAGCATTTTTGAGATTTTGATAGAGATGATAGAGCGATAAAAACGAATGAGAGAATGTGAGAGCTAGAGAGATATATTAAATGAAAGATGGGAAGTGGAAGACAAAAGTGAAAATGAGACAAAGTTAGAGAAGAAGTCGAAGAAAGAGAGAGAGATATAGATGAAGCTAAAAACAGAAGAAGATAACAAGGATAAAAGAAAGAGGCTCACAAATAAATATATGTATATAATACATCCATATATCTCTATGTTTCTCACGGGTCCATCTAATATAGATAGTCCACTTTTTTGATTGATTGAGTAAAATCTGAGGCTATCTCGCAACGCAATTGGGAATTTTTCTAGCCTGAGCCCGACACTGGGCAATTCCAATTCACCCGAGCTCAAAGCTCTAGCTGCCCCAGTGCCAGCCCCAGCTGCAGTCCCCGTATCAGTTGATTACACGGCAGAAAAACACATTGAGCGCGACTGCTATAAAAGGCTGGCTGGCCAAGTCGTTTGGCATCAGTGCAATCGCAAGTACTCTAGAGTCTTCACAGCAGTCGGGCAATAGCAAAATCTAAACCGAATCAATATGAAATTCCTGTCGCTCGCCTTTCTGCTCGGCCTGCTCGCTCTGGCCAGTGGTAAGTGGAACTATTCAAGAGATTTAGCAATCGAACACTTAACTAAATAAACTTCAATGCTCAACACAGCTAACCCACTCAGTCCTGACCATGTCATCATCAACGGCGACTGCAAAGTGTGCAATGTGCGTGCCTAAAGGCTCGACCTCAGGTCCTTGACGCAGGAGCAGCAGCATGAACAACTCTAGCAGCGGCTGCCGCAGTCTTAGCCACAATGGCAATAGACAAAAATAATTTAGTTTCAAATATGTTCAATATTATGCATTTAAGTACAACTACAGCAGGAATACCACAATATGTTAAAAAATACCTTTTAATGCCTTTTTTAAGCAAATAAATAGAAAATACAACGAAAAATGGAAATATTTTAAACAAAACTGTTTTCAATTTGTTTTTACACATTTCATTTTAAGCCTTTAAATTTTAAAAATAAAAGAATGTAACAAACACTCCACAGACTATTCAATCGTATACTCGTAAAATATATAAGCCTGAGCGGGGCATATTGTTTCTGGTATCATTCAGCTGGTATAAGATATGTAAAAGCTTCCTCACTTTTCTTGAACAGGAGCCAGAAAGAGAAAGAATGAATGAGAGAGGGAGGAAGAAAGAGGCAGATATTTCTAAAGGTCATCCTCTAGATTTCTCTCTGTCCATTTACCTGTCTTAGTGCTTGATTTCTTCCATCTATAACTCTAACTCTAACTCTATCTCTATCTCTATCTCTATCTCTATCTCTATCTCTATCTCTATCTCTATCT